TGTCTGCAGAGAGGCAAGAGGCAAGGAAAATTAAAATAGCCTACTGCAGGCACAGTCACCTGCTCATTAATGTGACATTAACATTATTGAAAACTGTCATTGCATTACAGTTATTAGAGTCAGATGATTGTCTTGGCAATATTGTTAGAAACAGGACTGCCTTCTTCCAGCAATGCCCTTGTCCACGAGTAGCTTTGCCCTTTTTACCTTCTTGTGATGCTAAGCTACAGGAAAGTGGATAAAACACAGTCAACACTGGGACAAAGGCCTGTCCTTCCACCTCACATGAAAAGTGTACTTTAGGGTTTAATCATAGAGTAAAGATCTCAAAAATGTGTATTTGAAGTCACCAGATGCAGCTCAAAGGTGCCAATGAATGTGAATGCTCAGAGAGAGAACTTAAGTTTGAGGCCAAGGTTACTGGTACACTCTCCTACTTGGCAGATGGGTAGTTTGAACAAGTCTGAATATTCCAAACAAGGAGTCAAAATGTACTTGACAAGCAGAGCAGAGAATGTTGCTAAAAATCTGAACTATTTCCATAGCTCCAGGTGGGGATGGCACCATGATTCACTCTAGTTGTGCACAGTAGTGTGAAAGCCATTTTTTTTTTTTTTTATGGAGCCCCTGACAGGACCTGTGACTTGAAAGTAATGTCAGAGAAATGTTGAAACAGTAGGCCAGAACTTTCACTCCACATTCGGAGTTACGTCCTTGGAAGAAGGGAGGCCATGTCCCACTCGAATAATGTCTGCCTTGTTCTGATCATGGAGTGGTTCTGCGAATCCTGTGATACTTTCTTTCAGGTCATGAGTGGCATGAAGTCTTTCCTTTAAGGCTAGGTTCATTTTTAGAGTGTCTTGTAGTTGTAAAGTGATACAAGGGCTGGTGAAATTCCAATTAATACTAGCAGATGCCCAGCCTAGTGACCGAGGTCAATAGTCAATCAACACAGACGCATTTTTTATTTTCGTTGCTGTTGTTTAAAAAAAAAATGTATTTCAAAAATAAAGCAAATGGTTTTCTGACTCTCAAGTCATATCTGAATGCAGTTTCAAAGGAATATCATAAATGTTTGAGATTCTAGTTTTACTTTTGTAAAAGCTCTAGTTTATCCACTATAATAAATGTTTACTGAGGGGCCATCACCAAGCTCTCTGATCAGCCCTGGTGATGCATGTCATCTGTATTGCCCATTGATTCCATTCCAGGGAAAAACTACAAGTCACAAAAATTGCCATAAAATACTAGTTATCTTGTGTTACTCCCAACTAAAACCCTTAAAAGTGATTCCCAGACTCTAGGAGGAGTTCATAAAGCTGGGTTGGAGGAGAGCAAGTGTTCACCCCTTCCCACCAGCCCTGTCTGGGAATCAGCATGAGCAGTCACAGCTCTCTTTCTCCACACCTGGCTCTCTGCTCAGCCCAGCTGCAGGCTCCTACTGGCTCTGCAGATTATCACTGCATCCCTAGCTTCTTCCTCCAAGTCAAACTGTGCCTTTGTGGGGGCTCCTTAGAGGAGCCTCAATCAAAACAGAGGGGCTCTTCCAGTTATATTCATATATCTCTGGGTTATTCTTTGAAGCATACAAGATATTTATTGTGTGTCTAATGATGCCGGGAGGCCATATGGTTGGCATGGAATAGCACATTCTAGCAGTAGGGATGGGGGTTCAGAAAATGAACAGAGTGGATGAGCAAACTGCATAGTATGTTATAAGGTGATGGTTTCTATGGGAAGGAAATAGACATGCAATAAGGTAAGCAAGATTCAAAGGACGAGGTGGAGTGTGACATAATAGGAGACCCCATAGAGAAGATGTTTGGGCAAAGATGTGTGACTCTCTGGGGTACAACAAATGCAGTGGCCACCATATGAGTAGTCTGGTATGTTGACAAGACAATAAGAAGACTAGAAGAAGGTGTGGGAGTTGGCAGGGTGATGGGAGAGATAGGTGGTCATTGTGAGGGGCTTGGCTTCAACTTGGAGGAAGGTGAGGAGAATTCCGAGTGGAGGAACAGTGTGATCTGCCTCATGCAATAAAAGCATTGCTCTGTCTTAGCACATGTCATATCCTAGAGCCTCTTGCAGGGAAGTTTATTTCTTCCCATCAGGTTGCCTCAATGCAAAAGCTATTCTCCATATCCCCAGGAACTCACCCAGAGTTCACCAGATATCCATCAGGTTCCTCCAGCATCTGTCAGATTGTTTATAATTATGCAGCCAGGGTTGTGCAGGAGCAGGTCAGAAGATTAAGAGGTTGGCCATCCTGCAGGTTTTGCTGCTTCTCCTCATGCAAAATGTCCTATGGATTGTGTGCAATTCTGAGTATACAACTTCTGTCATAGAGGAGCCACCCTAAAAAGGTGGGTTTCTCCCCATGTGTACCCACAAAATAGTCTCACCAAGCAGTTCATCCCTCAAAGAAACAAAATACACAAGAAATGTGGGAGTGTACATCTGTAGGCAGAACACTGGAAAAGTAGTACAGGAGCCGCACGATATTTAAACCATTTGCATGTTCTTCAGCAGAAATGAAGTATGGGCACAATTGTAATCCTAGGGAAATGGCCCGCTAGCTGCAGGAAATTGAGAATTGTGTGATAGTTCTCTGAAATAAACCTATGCAATAGTGGATATTCTAGAAAAGCAATAAGCTTTTTGAGAAGCAGAATTGCCATTTCTTTGTGATTTGGCCTCTCCATTTAATGCTGCACTGACTTTTATCTCTTGAAGTCTTCACTTACACTGTATCATAATTATAAATATACCATCTGCTCACTTCTGCCAGAAGCCCATGCATTTGCTGTCGGAACACTGGAATTTGCTTTTTGGTGCACACTTCTCTCAGGTGGAGGTGGACAAGGGGCTGGGGAACCATATGAATGGTGACAAGGTAGACCTTGGAGACCCACCTGGTGCAGAGGAGGATCCAGTGGCCAGGAAGCATCTACTGCATTGATCCTGGATTGCCAAGGGTTGCAGAGACCACTGCCCTAAGGTCACTCCAGTTTGCTTAATGATGAAAGCAGTTGTCCTTAGGTGATACTTTCAGGAGAAAAGTCACCAACAAACTTGGAAAACAAGCTTAGAGAGGTATTTTTAGTATAGAGTGCATATATCATGCAGCATTTAGAGCGGAAATCATGTTGTTTTACATATTTTCCTTGGCATGTTTTTGGGAAATTGGCAGGATATTTTTTAAGCTGTTTTTAAGATGATTACCTATTATAAATCCCCATGCCTTGCTTTACTTGAAAAATCTCTCTTGATTTTCTCTTTTTGGTATATTTAATCTGGCTTTAACAATTGAAACATTCTTATTGCAGGGAGGGTGTGTTTGTGTTTTATTAGAGCATTTCCTCTTCTGAGCAAATATTTGGATTATTAATGCTATACTAAGTGGGCCTCTTTCTGAAACAAAAGTTTTATGTAGTGAATTATTTCAAAGGAAGTTCGAAAGAAAGAAAAAAAAATCAGTATTCCAAGTTGCAAAAAAATCTATACCACCATGTTTGTACTAGTGCTTAGAGGACTTGGGAAAATGAGTACCTTGCCAATCCCCCGCTGCAGTGGCAGGGAGAGTATTATGTACAAGACCTGTCTCTGGCTCTCCATTCCTCTCTAAGGCAAAAAGGGAGCCAAGAAGGTGGTCTCGGTTGTTATCACCAGCTTTTTAATTGCTCTTTTGGGTCCTTTTACCTGAGATGTTTCCATCTGAGGAAAGGAATTCCCTTCTAGTGCCTGA